GATCCAAAAAAATCCTTGGAATTATTCCCTCTCCTCCAACTCCACGGGGGGGGGGGGGCAGAACTGGCACAAAGTGGGGGGAAAAAAAAGCCTAAAAATAGCCAAAAATGCCAATTCTGACCCAAAGAAGACCAATTTCTCCCAGTGGAGAAATTCCAGGGATTCTTCTGGGAAACCCCCCCAAAATTTCAGGGGGGGGGGACAAGGGAGGACAATAAGTTTGTTAATGGGGGGTTGTTCTCTCTGGGATTTTTGGGGATCCTCGTGGCTCTGGGGGGGGTTCCCTGTGGGATTTTGGGGGTCCCCGAGGCTCTGGGGGGGGGGTCCCCATTAGTCTGGGGGGTCCCTGTGGGTTCCAGGAGCTCGCTGTAGGTTTTGGGGTTCCCTCTGGGAGTTTGCGGGTTCCCATGGCTCCGGGAGGGTCGCTGTGAGTTTTGGGGTTCCCCATGGCTTCAGGGGTTCCCTGTGGGATTTTGGGGTTCCCTGTGGGATTTTGGGGTTCCCCGTGGGTGGGATGTCCCTACTCCTTGAGGAAGAAGCGCATCTTGTCTGCCATGAACTTCTTCTTGGGGTCGCTGTGGGTTTGAGGGGTCCCCGTGGCTCTGGGGTTCCCCATGACTCTGGGGGTGTCCCTGTGAGTTTTGGGGTTCCCTGTGGGATTTTGGGGTTCCCCGTGGGTGGGGGGTCCCTACTCCTTGAGGAAGAAGTGCATCTTGTCAGCGATGAGCTTCCTGTCAGGGTTTAGGGGTCCCCATGGCTCTGGGAGGGTCGCTGTGAGTTTTGGGGTTCCCTGTGGGATTTTGGGGTTCCCCCTGGCTCTGGGGGTCCCTACTCCTTGAGGAAGAAGTGCATCTTGTCCGCGATGAGCTTCCTCTCGGGGTCGAGGCGCTTGAGCAGCTGGGCCAGGGCGTTGACGGTGGCGTCGGAGCTGAGCCCCGTTCGCTTCGTCTGGAACTTCTTCAGCAGGTCCTTGGTGGTCATCGGCTTCCGGGACAGGTACCGGCGCACGGCCTCCTCTGTCAGCTGAACCTCCCTGGAATTGGGGGGATCACGGGGGTCAGGGGGGCTCCAGAACACCCAGAGACCCCAAAAATACACCATGGGATCGGGGTGACCCCATAGAGACCCAACAGACCCCATAGACACCCAACAACCGCCCCTGATCCCAGGCACGGCCTCCTCTGTCAGCTGAACCTCCCTGAATTGGGGGGGTCACGGGGGTCGGGGGGGGCCCAGAACACCCAGAGACCCCAAAAATACACCATGGGATCGGTGCAGCCCCATAGAGACCCGACAGACCCCATAGAGACTCAACAACATCCCCAAGGGCTCTGGGACCCTCCTCTGTCAGCTGGACCTCGCTGAAATTTGGGGGGTCACAGGGGTCGGGGGGGGCCAGAACACCCAGAGACCCCAAAAATACACCACGGGATCAGTGCGGCCCCATAGAGACCCGACAGACCCCATAGAGACTCAACAACTCCCCCAAGGGCTCTGGGACAGGTCCCAGGCACAGCCTCCTCTGTCAGCTGAACCTCCCTGGAATTTGGGGGGTCAGGGGGGTCTCAGAACACCCAGAGACCCCAAAAACACACCATGGGATCGGTGCGACCCCATAGAGACCCAACAACCCCCCTGAGATCTCTGCGACAGGTACCTGAGACCCCAAAGTGGGACCCCCAAAGTAACCTGGGACCCGCAAAATTGGACCCCCAAAGTAACCTGGGACCCCAAAGTGGGACCCCCAAAGTAACCTGAGACCCCCAAAGTGGGATCCCCAAAGTAACTGGGACCCCCAAAATAACCTGGGACCCCCAAAATTGGACCCTCAAAGTAACCTGGGACCCCCAAAGTAACCTGAGACCCCCGGGGGGCTGCCGGGGGCTTCTTGTGGCCAAAGGGCACAAGGTCCCCAAATCCCCCCAAACCCCCCGCCGAAGCCCCCCCACTGACCCGCTGCTGGGGGTGCTCTTGCCCGAGTGTGGTTGGGGGGTGCTCTTGCCCGAGGGGGGGCCCGGATCCGCCTTCAGCCTCTTCTGGGGGGGGGGGGCTCCGACCCCCCCGGGGGGGCTCTGCGGCCTGGGGGGGGCAGGGAGGGGTTAAAGGGGGGGTTTTGGGGGGATTTGGGGACCCCCAACCCACAAGAGATGCCCCTGAAGGAGGGGGGGAGATTGGCCAAATATCCCCCCTGAGCCCCCCCCAGACCCCCAAAAACACCCCCAGACCACAAAAAACACCCTCAGACCACCCTGTACCCCCCACACACCCCCAGACCCCCAAAACCCCTCCCTGGAGCCCCCCAAAGACCCCCCAAGCCCCCAAAACCTCCCCAGACCCTCAAAACTCCCCTTGACCCCCAAAACTCCTCCCCAGACCCCCCAAACCCCTCCCTGGAGCCCCCAAATCCCCTCCCTGGACCCCTCAAAGTCCCCCCAAATCCCCCCCAAACCTCTCCTTGGACCCCCCCAAATCCCCCCCCCATCCCCTGTAACTACCCCCC